TTACTCTTACTTCATACGCCAAGCTCTTACTTCATACTCCACCGTTTCGTTGGAGCCTTCCAGCGCGCGATCCAGATTCCGCACTCGTTGAAACAGCGCGGGGGAGGGCGATTTCCGGCTCCCTCGTCCTTAATAACTCCCGTCGCGGGCGCCTCGGCGCGTCTACGCGCGCTCGAAGTAGACCATCGATAAAAAGCTGTTTATTACCCGTCCACCTAGATTATTCGTATCGATTTGAGATTATTATCGCGCTCGCTCGCTCGCTCGCGGTAGCTCGGATATTCCACGCCGGATGGACGGGGGAACCCGGCGTGGTGGCCTGCCGCGTGTCCATAATCCGTACGAAGGATGCATCGAGGGCCCCACATGCCCACTCGCCGGGCGAATTACGTACGCGAGCGTACGTAAGTAAGTACGTATGTATATATAACGACTTATCTACGTAACCTACTCCACTTGCACCGTCCGCGCGAGGAGGAGAACGCGTTTCCTCGTTTACCGCACATGAACGCATCCACACGCATCGACTCCGCGTCCTATTGATCAGCGTGTCGTCTCAGTACGGATCGTCCAGATGTACTTTTATCATCTCCTTTCGGTTTCGCCGCCCCGTACCCGTCGAGATAACGCCGGTCGTGCCAACGACGACGACGACGAGGGTGATCGTTCCTGCATAAAAAATACTTTGGGATCTAATTTGGACTCGATTTCCTACAATAATTATGATTTCTAGATGGGAAATCTGTGCAGTTTCTGATTAAAAATTTAACGCTTCAAATATGCGAATCTAAGTGAGAAACACTCGGACAGATCTCATTTGGTCATGCGCAACGTTCCCCCAAAGATTTTTCTGATTTACATTTTAAACTAAAATTGAGCAAAATATATGAAACATTTTGAGTATTTACTCGTTACAAGTATATTTCAGACTCTCCTTCACAATTTTTGTGTGGATGAATTGAGGTGAACATAAAAGTCCTATATCGTTTTGCAATATTTGCAATAATGATCGAAATATTAATTAAAGAAGATTGGTGAACAATCACGCGCGGTATGGTGGATGAGCTATAGTGAGAATATGTGTTATTGTGTGCTTGTACATTAAGTAAAATTGAACAAAAAGCCCTTTATCATTTTGCAAATAACCACGCAGATTTTTAATTATTAAAGAAAAGAAAATTATTTAAGAAAGAAAATTGTTATGATTGTGCGCGATAATGCACAAATCTTCTTTAATTAATATCTAAAGATCTATGTGGTCATTTGCAAAATGGTAGAGGATTTTTTTTTGTTCAGTTTGACCTAATGTATAAGTATACAGACAGCGCTTTAATTAATATCTCGAAATTATTTATTACGAATATCGCAAAACAGTATAGAACTTTAATATTTATTTCAATCCGTTTTACGTTCTCACAAAAATTTATTGAAAAATTGAAATGTAAATCAGAATAAATCTCTAGGAAAATGTTGAGAATGACCAAATGGAATCTGTCTGGGTTTTCGACTTAGAAATTCGTCTTTAAAACATTACACTTTTCACCAGAATCTAGATTTCCCATCTAGAATCAGTGATTATCGTGAGAAATTTAGCTGGATCTCAATTAGATTCCAAAGCATTTTTTATGCGAGAATAATAATATATGTTCCTTTATTGAATCATATAAAGCACGTTATTGCAAGCAACCTATCTTCGTCTAACGCTGTGCAATTTCATTTGAAGATTTATATGTCCAGAATAGATATGTCCAAAATAGAATAGAAGACATCTTTATGATAAGAACGTATTCTCTTTTTTTTGTGCACACAACAGATGAAGTCAGACTTTAGAAATATACAGGGTGTCCCGCCACTACCACATTATCTTTTAAACATGTTATTGCAAGCAACCTATCTTCGTCTAACGCTGTGCAATTTTATTTGAAGATTTATATGTCCAGAATAGATATGTCCAAAATAGAATAGAAGACATCTTTATGATAAGAACGTGTTCTCTTTTTTTTGTGCACACAACAGGTGAAGTCAGACTTTAGAAATATATAGGGTGTCCCGCCACTATCACATTATCTTTTAAGGGCGGATTCCTGAGGTAATTTGAAAAAAAATCCTAGTGCAAAAATGGCTATAATATTTTTCAAGTTATAAACGATTAAAGTTGACCAATTATATTGGCTAAAGTACGCGCGCTCAGATACAACACACAATGGTACAGGTGCATGCACATGTCGTCCCTTTTCCAAATATTGATACGAAAGTTCTATACATACAACAACGTATATAATAACAATCTGCCTTTTCTATCATTTAAATAAACATATCACAAATAATAACAATTTCGTCAAAATCTTATGAATAAAATATCACCCAATACATTTATGAGAATCAATAAGTTTATAATTTGAAAATAATACTTTTCAAATTATAAACAATTAAAGTTGACTTTATAGACAATTTATATAAACAACGTATATAATAACAATCTGCCTTTTCTATCATTTAAATAAACATATCACAAATAATAACAATTTCGTCAAAATCTTATGAATAAAATATCACCCAATACATTTATGAGAATCAATAAGTTTATAATTTGAAAATAATACTTTTCAAATTATAAACAATTAAAGTTGACTTTATAGACAATTTATATAAACAACGTATATAATAACAATCTGCCTTTTCTATCATTTAAATAAACATATCACAAATAATAACAATTTCGTCAAAATCTTATGAATAAAATATCACCCAATACATTTATGAGAATCAATAAGTTTATAATTTGAAAATAATACTTTTCAAATTATAAACAATTAAAGTTGACTTCATAGATAATTTATGACAATGATATTGGCTAAAGTACGCGCGCTCAGATACGATACAATACACAATAATACAGGTGCATGCACATAAGTGAGAATTTGCATAAGATATGAAATTAGTTGTAAACCTCTGAAAGAGACGTCAAATGTGTGACAGCTTATTGATTCTCATAAATATATTGGGTGATATTTTATTCATAAGATTTTGACGAAATTGTTATTATTTGTTACTTGTGCTATCATTATAGCCTCGACATTTTTACATTAGGATTTTTTTGTTCAAATTACCTCAGGAATTCGTCCTTAAGAGATAATGCGGTAGTGACGGGACACCCTGTAGATAAATGGACATGTCCAACTCTGACAAGTTACATCGTAATGGAGGGCTAGCGCCGTATCTCCCCCGGTAATGTTCCCACGCGCTCGTCAACATTAACGCTAACTAGCGCGTCGCCGCGAGAGGCCTTGCGCACCATCGTTAGCCACTCGGTACCGCGATCTGTTTCGATCGACCGACCCGCCGCCGCCGACGACGACGACTTCGTCGTCCCTGACCTAAGCCACGCGTGCGTTCTATTCCGCCTCTCCAGGAATTCCAGTTCGCGCGACACCGAGATGTCAATCTCGTGCTCCCGTGTGAAATTGCTCGAAGCCGATCTCGCGTTGTCGCGATGGCACCGCGTGCCGCCACGCTGCAGGACGCTCTGCTCCGATAGACTGACGTACGTGCACTTTGCATTAACTTTAAGTACATTAAACCGCGAGATTCAGCAACATTGAGTCCCTTATGGCAGATTAGACCACTCATATTTATCACGTAGAATAACGAGATAAAAATATCAAAGATATACGGAAAAATGATCGAATTTGCAACAATATGTCATGTCGAAGGGATGCTGGAATAGATGACGAAAATGCCCAAAAATGTCGATAACGTAGAGGCGATCATCTAATACGATCATAGCCAGATGGACTTTTATGATTATCATGACGTGGGACAATCGATTATGCAAACTTTATGATTATTTTAATTGCACTTGTGGATGAATATATTACATTGAACTAATAATTCAATTTTTATTATACAACAATGCGTATATTGTGTGTGTCATATCAATGTAGTTATGAAATTTGTTCAAAGTTACTCTCAGATATTACATTTTGCATGATATATTATTTACTGCAAATTTCGATTATTTCTTTCATCTTTTTTTGTATTTTTATCCCATCATTCCGTGTAGTAGAATATTAGTGTCATATAAATCATTCATAAAGAATGCAAACCTTCACAAATCGACTGGTAAAGTTGCTGTCAAATTTACGTACATTTGTCTATCTGGGTACTATTCTTTCCGTGTATTTTTTGTATATACAGGGTGTCCTTGATTCTCCTCTGCAATTTTTGTGAAAACGGATTGAGATGAACATAAAAGCCGTATACTGTTTTGCGATATTCGCAAATAGTCGAGATATTAATTAAAGAAGATTAGTGAATGATCACGCACGGTATGTTCAGCTCGATCCATTCTACGTTCCCAAAAAAATTTCGAAGGAGAGTCTGGGACACTCTGTCCATAAATATATGCTGCTTTGTTTTATTATGCTAGCAGGAAATATAACCACGCAAATCTTTCTGCAAACTTTTCGTGTATTTATGAGCTTCTCTAAGTTCAGTTGTAAAAACACAAATATTGCTTGAAATTTTCGTTAACGGAGCAAACACACTTACGGTATACATGCTGCAGAACTTTTGTATCGAGTAAATATTTACCAACTGACAACGCGAGATGTCATTTTTAAAATTTTTTATCGTTTTCGTTATATATCGAGCAATGCTGCGATTCATTGTTGCACTTTCAGTGTGTAAAAGCGCATGTAATTCTGCGCAACTGATATGACGTAAACTTTGCGGAAAAAGTCAGTATTTCGTCGGTAAAGTTTTCAAGTACGGCATTCTCTTAAATGTAATATATAAATCTCAGTTTAACTTTTAGCAAATTTGTTGCTGCATCAATACAGCAAAATATTTCCATTATATAATATAAGTTTAATAATTCATTCAACACACACATACACACACAATATATCTACTACATATAAATAATTAAAAGAATTATAAATTTTCTATCATCGATTATCTCGCATCATAATAATCATAAAAATCTATCTGAGTTCTTCTTTTTTTTTTCTTTGTTTTCCTCCAACTCGTTTCTTCTCTCCTCCTCTTCATCCTCGTCTTGCTGCTTTGACAGCCACCGATTTGAATAATACGGCACTTTGCATTCAGATACGGTGGTGTACGCCGCCACTTCCTACTTCACTCGTTCATGAACCGTAGACACCGCCGACGTCGTCGTCGTCGCTCTATCCATATCATCCCGTCCTACGGATGACAAATTATTTTGATTAATGGAACACCAACATTCGCAATGAATATTTCTTTGCTTTGACGAAGGCCAAGAGGCCGCGAAATCAATCATCACGATCTCGTCATTTGACGTTGTTTTTCCCTTTTCTCTCTCTGTTTTCTTTCTTTCTCTCCTTTATCAGGACACGGTCGTTTGTCATCTAAGAAGCGTAAGCGTCTCTGTATATTTGTATTACAATTATATTCCCGATCTTAAGCGCGCGATAAGAGCACGAGATATCCTCCGTTTCTCGCGCGGTCGACGTGAGAAGTCAGAGGCAAACTGCGGGCTTATTCTGACACGTAACCTCCAGGTGTTTCAAACCGGTGCGGATTTCACTCATCTCCCTCTCTCTCTCAATAAAAGCCCGCAAAAATCGCGAAGGACCCTCGTTCGTTGAGGCATCATCATCGTTCGCAACACGCGCTCGGCCAAATTTTCGGCCGCGAGGAAGGCCGCGAGAACGCGGATCGAGACGATGACGACGATGACGACGACGACGATGACGGGCGGCTCGCTGTAACCGCTCCGCTCCGCTGGCCTGGTTCCGTTGTTAAACTGCCCTCGAGATATAGAAACTGTTAATCTGTTAACCTACCTGCGCCTATAACGCGCCGTCTCGCGCACGATCTCCATAGCGTTGCGGTATCGAGCGACCTAGACGTCCGCCCTGCATGACGATCTCCCGACCACCATCGCGACCATTGTTGTTGTTATTGCCGCCGCCGTCGCCGCCCTCGTCGTCGTTGGCGGACAATCGACGAGATCTCGTTTGCGTTACAGTGGGTGTACTGGGAGAAAAAATATCTAGGAAATGAGAAACATTTATTCGATGGGTGTATTAATAATAGATTTATTTATACACCAATATGTGTAAAATATTTTTCAAATAAGAAAATATATTTTCTTAACCAGTTCATTGGTAATGGCACACATATATGCACCTTGAATAACTGCTACTTTTCAACGAATTTGCACACGACTTACAAGTAAACCCAAAAGTGACACTCCGATTTCTTTCTAATTTGGCACAAATGAAAAATAGAATGAAAAATGAAATGTAGAATATAGAAATAGAAAAAATATTTAGGTCATATTTTTTCATTTTGGCCCACTTTGAGTTTCGCGGGCAGTTTATATAGCTTTTTAATGTTCTCAATCCTATCATCAAATGCAACAAAAATGCATAAGAAATAAAATTGAATACAAGATATAGGTGTTTTTGGTTTGCTGATTATGAATATAAAGTCAAATGTGTAAAATTATTTATACATATCATATTACTTATAAATAATAAAATGTTTAAACAAAACATGTAAAAAATTGAAAGAAAATTATTTATACAAATAATTTCTCGGTTTGGCCGAGATTCGAACCATTTTTGACTAATTTAGCACAGATTTGAAATATTTCGGTTGGAATCTCGGCTAAAGAAATTTAGAATGGTTCGTGTCACAGTTATGCCGATTTTGTTAAAATTATTTAACTATATTTTGTATTCAATTTTATTTCTTATACATTTTTGTTGTACTTGATTTGATTGTATTGTTGTTGATGATAAGAGTGAGAACATTAAAAAGTTATAAAATTGAAACTCGTAAAATTCAAAGTGAGCCAAAGTGAAAAAATATAACCTAAATATTTTTTGTACTTCTACATTTGTGCCAAATTAGAAAGAAATCGGAGTGTAACTTTTGGGTTTACTTGTTAGTAAGGTTTTTGGGCCTGATTATGAATATGGAGTCAAATTTGGGAAATTTATAATGGCGGATCCAACATCGCAAATGGCTGACTTTGATATTCTATTGTGGATATGTGTCAAACTTGATATGTGCATGTTTTTTCGATCACTGATGACAAACACAAAGTCGAAATTACAAAATTTAAAATGGCGGATCCAACATGGCAGACTCAATATGATTCCTTCTAGTGACTAATGGTATTCCATTATGTTTATTCTTCGTAATTAGCTGGTGAAATATTATGATCCCAGAGTGCGGCACGTGGAGGATTTTACACTCCATTTTTTTATTAAAAGTTTTTTTGTATTTTTGACTTTGTATTCGTCATCCGTGACTGAAAAAAAACATGCACATATTGAGTTTGATACGTATCCATAATGAAATATCGAAGTTAGCCATTTGAAACCGCCATATTGGATCCGCCATTTTGAATTTTGTAATTTCGATTTTGTATTTGTTAATCAGCGAACCAAAAAACCTTTTATAGATAACCTTTCATATAAAATACGTCATTCGCTCTTACAAATTTTTGCACAAAACGATGGTTTCAGATCACCAGTGAACTGGTTAAAACCTTCTTATGAAAGCAATTGTTTATTCTGTTGAAATAAAAGCATTTGAATTCAAGTAAATGTATTATTATACTGAGAGAAAAAAATTGTTGATTTTATTAAAATTATAGAGTTATAAAGTTATTTTTGGCCCAATCATATTTTTTGATTGTTTTAATATGAAAATAATAATAGTAACATAAGGTTACACTTACTAATATTAGTAGAATTTAATGAAAAATGATTTTCTTAATTAATAATTTATAATAATTTCTCTACGTTATTATAATTACAGATATTAAACATTTTTTTCTCAGTATGTAACGACCACTAAACTAATATTTTTAATTTTTTTCTTCCAGTGCTTATAAATAAACCAAATTTATTTGCAATTGGAAATAATTTTCCTTTCCATGTTCACTAAGAGAAAAAAATATCTAAGAAATAAGAAATATTTATTCGGGAAATATTTATTGGGCATTAATAACATATTTACCTATAGTAATATAAAATATTTTACACTTAAAAAATATATGTATATATATTTTTTTAAGTGTAAAATATATATATAAATATATATATTTTCTTAAAATCTTAGCTTCTTATAACAGCTGTTGTCTACTCTTACTGTTTAAGAGAGAGAGCAAAAGAATTTAAATTAAAATCAATATTTAGGATCCGCTGAATAAATATTTCTTATTTTTTAAATATTTTTGCTCTCACAGTACTACGGACTGTGTTCTGTGTATGTGTGTGTGCACGCGCGTGTGTACGGATATTATGGTTTTATGATGCGGTTTACGATGTACGCGCGCGCGCATTCACGCGATATGAGATTGTATGTGTGCGTGCATGAGAGTCATAGAGACGAGAAGCGCGATAAAAACGTTTCATTGCCGGCGGGAGCCGGTTAAGAACAATCGCCGCGATCCATCCGCGAAATTAAAACCTATTTTACGTTGCCTGCTAAATCGCGGCACACACGCGCGGGGCCAGGTGACGTAATTGCGTTTAGTTGCGTCGCTCTGTCCCTGACCAGCCGCACTTTCTCTCCGCTTATCATAGACAAGTGAGGCACGCGCGAAATCGACTTCGGCTTCACGATCGTTTAATGGCAACAGAAGTCATCTGCAAATTAAGATCCCGGCGTGATCCGCCGCAGGCTGACGACGAGAGTCGATTCGACTACTCCAAACGGGATGTTTCCACACGGAGAAAGCAGCTCTGTTAGTGTAACTGAATTCTCTGTTATTTGAAGACCAAATGAAAAATATGGTTGTTGTGACGAACAGAAAGATTTCTATAGAAGATTTCTGCTGAGAACGAGTCGCTCTCAGTTATCTCGGCCGAGTTTTAATGCAGCCGAATGTTCAGACGAATGTTTCCGATCACAGTAACAGAGATATTATTTCTCGTCAGCGAGTTTTTTTTACCTGGCCTCCATTCAGTTAACCGAACAGAAATTTTTTCTTCGCTTTTAAAGTAGAAGAGACCGAGATTATATGGCCACAGGGATATGTTGTTTATGTGCTTTTTTAGCATCTTGAGAGGAATGGTGAGTACAAAATCGCGAAATGGTCCTTTTAAAACATAAATACTTTTCCCTGAGTTTCATAAAAATTAGAATAATATTATAATTAAGAAATAGAACAAAAAACTGATTTAGTAATAGTAAAGTAAATTTTCAAGTTTCTCGAAATCTTCTATTATTATTCTCCATTATGATTGAATAAAATGCAATTTTCATTCATAAAATGATAGAAATAGAGCAATCTTTTTCGTATTTTTCCATATTTTTTATTATATTTTGTTTGGTTATTCTATGTGATAATGATCCTTTATATAAAATATAAAGGATCATAAGGAATATTCATAAGGGATATAACTTTTGCAAAAAAATCGACTAATAAAGTTGCTGCCATATTTACGTATATCTGTTTATCTTGGCGGTTTGAAAATGGTTGAATATTTTATTCGATGCAGCTCGGATTATCCAATGCGCAAATTTAATATCCGTGAATCAATGGAAAAAAAAAATTTTTATTGGGCCATCGGTCGCGTTTCAAATTGCATCGGAAAAAGTGTTTGAGCTATATTGAAATTATACACTGAGAGAAAGAAAATGATTAATTTATCTAAAATTATGATAATTTTTGACGTTAAATATATTTTCTGTAGTAAAATGGTAGTACAGTAACATATCTTGGTAGAGATTGGACTTCGTTGGTGTTTAGCCACGAGATAATAAATTTTTATTTAACATCATTACGAGACAATAATTAGGTTAGATCTAACTTAGATTAGATTTGATCTGGGAGCAAGTCCATCGACCAAATGTTAACTTCTAGTGGCTAAATAAGTAAATTAGCTAATGATTAAACAAACGAGATTACAGTTGAGATTACAGTTGAGTATGAGATAAGTAGTTGCTAGATAGTAATGTAACGCTCAATTCTATTTTCTTTAACATTTTTATGAAGTTAACGTAATCTCAATCTTAATTGTAATATGCTAATGATGATACAGTAGCTGAATTATATATTTTTCAATAGACAGCATCATCTAAATTATCATCATCCTTAAATATATCCGGATTTATATATATATATATATATATATATATATATGTATGTATGTATATGTATATACCTCGGCTCTATTTTATCATATTTCATGGCTAAACCTTAGACATCTAATTCTAGATATCTATTCTATCGGTTCTATTTCTATTAGATATCTAATAGAATATAATCTAATATATAATGTATTCCATATTTAATCTATTCTAGATTCCATATCTAATTCTACATATTTCGTTGAATAATCAACCAATAGTGAATTGGTAATGAGCCAGACAATTTAATATAGCCTGTACTAGCTAGTTACTAGTTAGCTTTTGACTGAGGTCAGTTAGTTACATTTTTACTTGGGATGCATATAAGATCGTTATTACTAACATTACAGTAGAATTTAATAGGTAGTTTTACTTTTCTCGATCATAACTTTTAGTAAATATTCCTCTATGTGATTATAGTTACAAGTACCAAACATTTTTTCTCAATGCAAGTTACATTTTCCCGATTGACTCAAAGTCCCGTTTCCCACCTGATTTCCGCTCTAAACACGTCAAATTCGTTTGATGGATCTGTTAATTCTTCAGTCATATAACGCGCGACCGGCTGCCAAGAGGAAGGGGGGAATGAGGGCCTGTTGAAAAAAAGATTCTTAACTCTCCGGAGGCGTTTTTACATAATTGTCGTCTGTCAAGATTCCGCCGTAATCACAATCGCGGTTACGTTCCGCGATCGCGACAACCGGCTCTGATGTCCTTCCGTGAGTTAGTCCGTCGGTCAGTCAGTCGAGCGAAATGTGTCATTTCGCCGGCGAGGGAGGGGGAGGGAAGGGAGATAGAGACAGGCAGGACAGAGAGGCAGGAACGACGGGGTCAATCTATGCGCATAGATTGTCGCGCCGCCGATACGATTACTTCCTCGCTAGATCGCCGATAATGAAAGACGAAGAGCGAAGCGAAATAACGAACAGACGGACGGCACTCAGCCGCCCGATCGGATTCCCGTTCCTGCCTTCCGGAACGGGAACGCGCCGCAGAACGTCCGCTTCTGGCGTCGCGCGGTAGTGGGCCGCTATCTTCGCGCCGTTTTCCTCCCACTGAGAGGACGAGGTGGAGCGAGGGAGAAACAGAGAGAGAG